AAGTAAGTTATAGCTCTTATAGCTGTTAATAACTAGCAGACAGTAGCTGCTAACAGTACACTTCTTTATATGCACGTTAAAGTGCTTTAACTAGTCTAGACTAAGCTAATTAGTAGTCTAGCTGCGCTTAAAGATTACAATAACTTAATCCTAAAGTAGATTTTCCTTCTTATACTAGTTTAAAAAGTAGTTGCTACCCTAGAAGATAATAAAAAGTAGAATAGCCTACCTTTTAGCATTAATGCCCTAGATAGCTGTTATCTACTCCTAGTTACCTAGCTAGACTACTTTTAGCTGTCCTTGTCTCTCTAAACCTGTAACAACTGCTTTAGTAGATATCTAGCCTATTATAAACCTTGTCTTATTAAAGTTGTACGTGTTGTTATTTTAGATGCTATACTTAGCTTTAATATTCTTTATAAGGTTAAACTAGCTTTAAATTACTATAGGATTCTTACAGAAAGCTTTTTTATAGTTATACTTACACTTAAACTTTACTTTAAGCTCTAGATAACACTTAATAAATATATTAGGCTAGTTTATGCTAATATAGCCTATATTATGCTTAGTGTGTAAAGAATTAGCTATATTAGCTACAGCTACTAGCTAGGGGGGAAATCCTCACGCATCTAGCTTAAGTATGTGCTAAATAATTACCTACTTTTTATTATTATCTAGCTTTTATAAGTTAGCTATATAATTAGCTTAGAAAAGTTGTCTAGCGTGTTAGTTACTTATTGTCTTTTAAGAGACTCTGTAGATAGCTGCAGCGTGTTAGTTAAAAAGTGTTATATCTTGTTTAAAAGCTTAGAGCGTAAGCTACATCTAACATTCCTTTAACACATTTAAGTAGTGTTGTTAGGAATGCATTAGTGTAGGAAGAGTAGTATAGTAGGGTCTTAGCAAAAGTAAGTAACTTAGGTGTGTAAGCAACTTGCCTATAAAGTACGTTAGCAGCTTTTCTATAAAGTAAGCGCTTTTTAGAAGGCTTTTTAGCTTACTTTAATAGCTTAAAGTTATGCAAGTACTAAGCTTATTAAATTAAATTTAGAGGCTATTCTTAGCTAAAGTTTTAATATAACGTACTTTACAGGCGAGTTGCTCACACACCTAAGTTGCTTACTTTTGCCAAGACCCTACTAAACCACCTTTTCTATACTAATGCATTCCCCACAACACTACTTAGACGCGCTAAAAGAATGTTAGATACAGCTTACGCTCTAGGCTTTTAAACAAGACATAAAACTTTTAAAAAAATATGCTGTAGCTATATACAAAGTCTTATAAAAGACAATAAATAACTACAGCGCTAGACAACTTTTATAAGCTAATTCTACAGCTAAATTATAGAGGCTAGGTAATAAAAAGAAGCAGGTAATTGTTAAGACTATACTTAAGCTATATGCGCAAGGAATTTCCCCTTAGATAGCATTTATAGCTAATATAGCTAATTCTTTACGCGCTAAGCATAATCTAGGCTATGTTTACATAAACTAGCCTAGTACGTTTATAAAGTGTTATTTAGAGCTTAAAGTAAAGTTTTAAGCGCAAGTATAGTTAAAAGATATTTAGCTAATTATAAACCCTGTCTTGCTAAAGTTGTACGTGTTATTATCCTAGATGCTATACTTAGCTTTAATATTCTCTATAAGGCTAAACCTGCTCTAAATTACTCTAGAACTCTTGTAGTAGGCTCTCTTATAGTTGTACTTATGCTTAAACGTTACTTTAAGCTCTAAATAACGCTTCACAAACGTACTACGCTAGTTTATGTAAACATAGCCTAGATTACGCTTAGCGCGCAAAGAATTAGCTATATTAGCTATAAATGCCCTCTAAGGGGAAATTTCTCGCGCATATAGCTTAAGTATAGTCTTAATAATCACCTGCTTCTTTTTATTGCCTAGCCTTTATAATTTAGCTGTAGAATTAGCTTATAAAGGTTATCTAGCGCTGTAGTTATTTATTGTCTTTTATAAGACTTTGCACATAGCTACAGCACATTTCTTTAAGAGTTTTATGTCTTGTTTAAAAGCCTAGAGCGCAAGCTGTATCTAACATTCTTTTAGCGCGTCTAAGTAGTGTTGTGGGGAATGCATTAGTGTAGGAAGAGTAGTTTAGTAGGGTCTTGGCAAAAGTAAGCAACTTAGGTGTGTGAGCAACTCGCCTGTGAAGTACGTTAATATAATGTTATAATTATGCACAAGTAAGGTTATAAAGCTTTACAGAAGTCTAGTTTAATTACTATGTAAGGTATTATAGTAGGTATAAGATGTTATGTAAGAAACAAGAAGGTTTAAAAAAAATTAGTAATTAAATACTTAGCTTAGAAGTCTAAGCGCTTTAGGTATAAATTAAGCCTATTTTAGGTTTAGTTAGTGTTAAGGCAGTTTATGCTTAAGTTTATGTCTGTGTTGTGTTGTGTTTGTGTTAGACGTGCACTAATAATACTCTAGTACGTGTCTGATACAGTTATGTCTAGGATCCGGGGAGGATACCGTGACAAGCGTAGTGCTTAGTAGGCTAATGCTTAATGCAATATCTATTTAAGCATAGAAACTATAGAAACAAGCAGTTTCTTATGTTAGTGTAGATTAGAACTAGCTAGACCTAGGTCTAGTAGAAGTACTCTTTTGTTTTAATTATTTAGATAGCGTGCGCCTTATACTAGCACTTATTATTCTTATGTACGTGGCTTCTGCACAGGATGTAGTAATAGTTAATTTGTTATTGTTCTAGCTCTTTTCTAGTTACTGCTAATGTTAGAGAGAGCGTCTCTATCCTGTTTAGTAATAGTTTAGAGACTAGTAACTTTGTTTTTATCTAGTTAGGTTCTTTTTCTTTTATAAAAATATTTTAGAAAAAGTTCCACCTCTAATCCTTAAACATAATTTAGTATTAGACTGTAGCAATTTTTACTATAATGTTATATGTTTCTGTGTTGTTGCTTATTAGTACCTTGTTGTAAAAAAAGTAGGCAGATGTTATGTTTATAAATGTTACTACACTTTTAGCATTATCTTTCTATAAACCTCTAGACTAACCTGTACGCAGAAAGTCCTGCTATTAGTTGGAACATAGAGAACCTTTCTGCTCTATGTTGTACATTTTGTACATAGCCTAGGATTTAGAACAATCTATAATGTCTCTTATAAGCTACAGCTTCTTCTAGCGCCCTTATAATGTTATTACCTTTGTGCACTTCCACGTTCTAGTAGTTGTAGATGTAAAGGGCTAAATTGTAGTTATCTCTACATCTCTAGCAGAGTCTCTTTGCTAATCTATTGTGTATGTTATCTGCAGTTAGTTCTTTTATAATGTTAATAGCTTTTATTACTAGTTTAAAATTTTTATTCTTTGCTAGTTTAGAGTCTAGGTAATTTACATAGAAATAGCCTACTTCTTTATAACTTAAGCAGGCTTTCTTCTTTAACTACTCTTTCTATTCTTTTGTTAATGAAGGTTAATTTTGCCTTTTCTTACCTAGAGTCCTTTAGGTAGGCTTTTATTTTGTAGATTCTATTTTACTAAGATTTATTCGTTCTTTTACGTAGAGTAAATTGTCTTTCTTTTTATATTATAAAGTAGGTTGCTACCTTATATTACCCCTCTTCTTTTTGTAGTCACGCTCTTAGTGTTAGTGTAAGGCCGGATGTCCTAGAACAGGCTAGTATAGCCTCCTCTAACCTGTTTAGAGGTCACATGACCTGTGCTTTGTATATAAGCATAAATCCTAACAGGCAAGGCTTAGCAGCGATTTGTCTCTCTTACAATACACTCCTATCTTTCTCTAAAAGCTTGCTCTTAGTGCTATTCGTGCTACCTACTATCCTATCTTCACAGTTAGTTGTTAAAGAGGGTTATAGTTTTAATAAATTTCTTAAGTTTCTCTAGTTTTTTTATATGCGTAAACTTATCCTTAATTTAGTTGTATAAGCCTTAGTAGAACATTCTACATAAGGACTTCTAATTAGTCTATTTACAGATTGTCTGTTATTCTCTAAAGCGTGCTGTGTACAGCTAAACTATTTTTTTTTCCTTGCTTAAAGTTATTTATCTTGTTAGCTGCTATAGCTGCCTTATCTACTAAGCTATAAATTAAGGTAAGAGCTTTCTTAAACTTATAAATGCTTTTAAAAATTTCTTTAGTTTCTTTACATAGGCTTATTTTTAGTCTTTTATAGCTGTTTTATTTATCTGTGTGTAGTTAGAACTAAATAGCAGGTAGCCTATTAAGATAGAAACCTATCTAGGAGACTATTTTACCGTTAGTTTTAAAGGGTCCCTAGTTATAGTCTATGTATAGTTAATAATAGGTAAATAATGCTTTTAAGTCTTTTAGGTCCCTTTTAAAAAGTTTTAAAAGAGCTAGTTATAGTAACTTCTTAGCTATAGTACTTTGTTTTTTATTTATTTTATAGTAGAAGCTTACTAGCTTAGTCTGCAGATTTCTACTTTATTTTATAAGTTCTAGTTCTACATCTATAAAAAGCCTTATGCTTTCTAATAGAACTGCGCTAGCTATAGATAAATTACTAGAAAAAAGTTATAAGGAATTTATACTTTATTAAGAAAGGTAGTAATTAATGTTATAATCCTTACTTACAGTAATACAAGTACACGGGCCTAGAGGGGTGTTGTAGGTTAAGAGGCGCAGAGTTCCTAGGTGCGCGGTCTAGTCACAAGCGCAGCAGTAGAAGGGAGTAAGAGGAGATAGGCTTAATTATAGTTTACCCTTAAACAGCAGTATAAGGCGCTAGTTAAACAGTTCTATTAAACAGAAGTAGAGGTATATATAGTGTAAGATATATAGATAGTATTTAGCTTATTAAAAAGCTAGAATGCTACTTAGCTTATGTAACAAATAAACTAAATGTTAATCACACCTTTTAAGTTATTACTTTAATAATCCTTATATATTCTAGTCCGCGCAGTCGCCGGGCCGGGGCATCAATGCTGAGCACGACTAGAAAGTGGACAAACCCGCTGCTAAACAGCTGATCGCCAACGCTAGCTCCTTTTGCCGGCCCTTTCAGCAGAAGAGCTCGCGTGCGTCCTTCATCGTGTCTACCTTCGTCCTGCGGCGGTGGATAGGGTGATGTTGGTAGTGTCGAGTGGTAATGTCGCTGTCGTCGCCGCTGGCACTACCGTCCTCACCTTCGTCGGTCTGTGCGTCGCTACCCTCACTACTACTACTGTCGTTTTGCCTCATCATCCTTGCCTGCTCGTTAGCTACAATGCGTAGCAGGTAGCAGACGAACTTGACCATGTATCCGGCATACTGCGCCTGACTCTCTGGGTTCTGCAAGGCGGAGTAGAGCAGATGTGCAGCTAGCAGTACTATAGAGCCTTTAGGTACGAATAATCAACCAACGGTTGATTCACGTGCAGAATAATATACATGCCTTGCATAACAAAACTTTAAACAAATATCTCCGCTACAGGTTACTATTTTATAGACTTCCTCGATTATACACGAAATCAAAGCGCTCTTAAAGCTCTCGACGCTTGAACTGAACCATCGGACCGTTATGGATACTCACGAATTTGTCCCACGTTTGAAATTCCTTCTTCCTCTCCCGTCCAGGACCCATGCTCTTACTCCCTTGTCCCAGGGTCGATCCAGGCTGAAGCCTCATATCAAAGAGCCAGACAGTTCGTGCAACGACGAGGGATATCTCTTGATATGCAAGGTACTTCCCAATGCAAGACGTTCGACCAGTTCCAAACGCAGTAAATGCACTAGCAGCCGTAGACTGTGGGTGGTCCAAAGTAATGGGATGACCATCGTCCTCTGCGTTAAGATTTAGTCCTACATCGATGGTGCTAGATTTTCGGTCCCGGGGGCTACCAGAGAGCCAGCGTTCTGGCTTGAAGAGGAAAGATTTGGGGAAGTAACTCTCGTCATGATGGAGGGCGTAATGTGGGACGGCTAGGTCTGTTCCAGGGGGGAACCAATCGCCATCGACGGTAAGTCCACCAGGCAAGACTTCGCGCATTAAAGTAGACCCAACGGGTGGGCTCATGCGAAGAGACTCTTCAATGCAGGCCAGTAGGTAGTGACACGAGGCTAGCTGTGGGCCAATACGGATTTCTTCGACGCCGGAAAAGGAACTACGGATCTCCTTCTCTAAACGCGAGAGAGACGTCGAATAATTAACAAGATAGAAAAAGACTCCGGTGGTAGCAGTAACTGTGGTATCCGACCCGGCGATGGTGAGAAGTCCTGCTTCAGAAACGAGCTGGTTAGTTGAGAACCCTTTCCCCGTCTTTTCGTCTTTAGCCTGGAGTAAGGCTGAGAAGAAGTCGTTACATCCTTTTTGCGCGAAACGCCACTGGAATATAGACGCGCTTAAGCCCGTAAAGCGGTTAATACCGGCAACTAGTGTGCGGAAGAAGATCTTATCAAGCTTGAATGTAACAATTCCGGGCATGTAACCGACCTTAGCCAGTAAGCACAGCCCAGCAAGGTTGTGAATCATAAAGGCTTACTAGATGGATCCCGGCGACGGCTTGAGGCAGAGAAGTGAGAATATCTCGATTGTCGGGCTTTTGCTGAACCTCCCAGCTTTTACTAAAAGTTATATCTCCCATAATGTCTGAAACTAGGTAACCAACGAGCTCGCTCATGTTGCGCGGGGAGCTCCACTCTTCTTTGTTTGCATCCATCAGATGGTCGCAGAAGTACCGTATATTCTTTAAGATTTGCTCCTCCATTGCCTTAATATTTGTCGGATTCAAAGCTCGAACATTGACTCTGCGGCGAAATGCATGTTCCTTCATATCAGGTGTAGTGTTCGATGAAGGAGTCCCGCCGAAGAAGTGTGCAGTCGAAGCATACACCTTTGATCGCTTCACGTTGGAGCTAACACTATATATGTCCTTTAAGGCTGCTGCAGATCGGATAGAAATTCTATCTGGTCCAAACCTCACGATCTTTCCTAGCCCGAGGTTAGCACAGCACTCCTAGGTAACCACAACAGACTATCTCACCATATCTTTCGTGTAATCGGTAGAAGTCAATGTGCCTATCCCCCTTTATAATATGGTATACAGAGTACCAATCCGTCAAGGTCGCCCACCACGGTCCAGGATATTTAGCAAGAGGATGCCAAATAGATCGATACGCTGCTACAACAAGTGACTTTGCTTTCTTAGCGCATTAATTAACTGGTACCTTCCACTACTCACATGCGTAAGTATTGGGACGCCAACCGCGAGTATGAAACTCCTAGCCTCCGGTCTTGCGTTGAGGAAATTATCGTCAGTACTATAGTAGTAACCAAGGATAATGCTGATTAAGAGTGCAGTGAAAACGCTGAGCAGATGTTCATTTCCCATCTTGAAAGTGTTAAAAAGAAGTTACAGGTTGTTATGCTAAGTAGCAGGTGGAGCTGGGGAACTATAGCAAAATCCTGCCGCAGATTGGAACTTCGAGCGCCGTACTGTTGCAACGAGGAGGAACGGCGAGAGTCAGACACGACATTCCAGCCGAGTGAAGATTTCACAAAGGGGCAAAGTGCATCCTAATATGAAGATGCATGCAGCTGGGTGGAGAGGTGTTACGAACTGATAACGCAATACCGATAGTTGGGAACCAAAGGGAATCGAGCGGAAAAGTTGGTATGTGGCACAGGAAAATCGAACTGCGTTATTGCGGAGTCGACGGCCTCTGCCACCAGCGTTAATTTATGCGCCATGTCATCATACCATTACAATGGCCTCGGGTTTCCAACCTTAGAAGGTCTAGATATTTACAGGGATAGCCTGTAGTTTAATTAAACACTCTAACGCAGATTAGCAAAAATATACACTTTGCTAATAAGTATTGCTAATAACATCTTTTTTTAAAAACGAATTTACACTCTTTAGAGCACTATAACTAATACTAAATCTTCTAATAAATTCAATACTTATAACTCTTCTTGTATAAAAACAATACACAAACTAGAGAGAAAAGGTTAAGTAAACATATATTAATATATTTAATAAGCAAGTAGACTCTGTACGTAAGTAGACTAACAAACTCTGCTAAAACAATTATACAGCAATAATACATAATGTCTTAAAACTACAACGTTTAGAAAATTAATACTAAAGAGAATCTATTCTTCTTTACTATATTTAAACCTAATTCTAAGTAATGTGTTTCACAAGTGAGTTGGCCACCTAAGCGAGTTAGCTACTCTAGAAACTATAGAAAATCGGAAAATCTACAGTATAATATCTCTACAACCCCCCTAACAGATATACTAGTCATCTGTAAAGATAGGGACCGCTTGAAAGTGCCATGGACATGACAGCGCGCACCGCAATAAAATACTCAATTCCCTTACCAGGTTGCACACCTTGTACCACTAGAGCTTAGCCTCCCCGCATCTGCTTTTCTTCGATCTACTTATGAAATCTGTTGCCTCTTTCAGGCCCGTTCGCAAAGTAAGCGACAGGAGTCAACTCAGAGTTAATGTGGAGCTACATCACCCGTTAGGGCCAGATGTTAGCATGGAGCATGAGACCTCTTTCTGCTGATAGGGAACGATACCGGAGAGGAATATCTTCACAATCCTCACAATCTCTTCTTTCTCTCAACCACAGGTTTCATCATCCAACACTTTCGATCCTCCGCTCCAACATCATCGAGGCTCTTGCCACCCTTCCCTCAACTCTTTCTGGGGGGTATAGGGCACAGCTAACCAGACTGCACAGCGTGTCTCCATCAACTTTAGAACCCAGTCCTTCCGTGAAGTGGAAGAGAATACATTAACCAGGGTACCATGCAGGACTCCGACGGACTTCTTTATCGCCGAGATGGCTGGCACTGCCTAGGATTTACCTAATAACAGGGAATCAAAGTTTCGCATCCTGAAGCTATCTTCTGGGGAAGCATAATCAGAAAGCGGTGTGCAGCCATGTGTTGGATGCTGGTTCACTTCCATATATGACTAATTCACCGAACATTTCACCGCCTCTTAGCCCGGCTATAGAGTTACTAGCACTGTTATCCAGCTTCCCAAGTCTCTTTAGGCAGTGACCAAGGCCCTTTCCCCTCAAATCCATTGTCCCCTTCTCCACTCCTCCATCTTCTTAGCCCCTATTCATTCTACCATCAGAATCAATGGAACATCCTCGCACTTCGTTCATCTCCCTCAAACCAGCGCAAAATTCTGCCCTACCCGGGCAGATGCGCATCTTTGAGCATCGGAAAAGGTCCCTCATTTATCATCTCCGCACTCTCTGGCTATTCACTCGAAGTGATCTCAAGACCGTTGTTTTCCCACAGACGGCCTTTGGATATTCTGCCGCCTTCCTCAGGGGTACCAATACCATCAGCCTGTCTTCACTGTTCACGAATATACCTTGGCATCTTCCTCGAATCGTTTTCTGGATATGGCTGAATCTTCTCGGTGAGGTTATTGCAAACCAACGACTTTCCAATTCCATCATCGAAGACTCCATCAACAAACCATGGCGGCCGCTACCTAGTAAGAGACTCACTCCAGATGAAGCTAGGAACTTGCTTCTGTGGATACTGCCCGTGACGTATCTCGTCGGGCGGGTAATTGGGGGCTCTGAAGCGTCCGTGGCCTTGATGGTCCTTTCGTATATGTACAACGACCTCGGTGGTGCGAATGAAAGCTGGCTAGTACGAAACGTCCTCAACGCTTGTGGCTTGTCGAGCTTTAGTATCGGAGCTGCGCAGGTCGCTGCAGGTCCGCTAAGCCCTCTCGAAGATTGCCTGTACATGTGGGTCACTATATTGGCTGTCATTATCACATCAACGGTTCAACTGCAAGATTTACCTGACGCAGAGGGTGACAGAGCACGAGACCGAAGAACCCTGCAGCTGGTGTACGGAGAGAAAGTTGCGCGCTGGTCAATTGCTATGCCAATGCTATTTTGGTCGTTGTTTTGTCCGTGCTACTGGGGACTGAGCGTATTAGGATTTCTACCTTCTTGCCTTCTAGGTGGCCTGATTGCTACAAGGGTAATATTTTCAAGAAGCAGGGCAGCGGATGCGCTCACATGGAAATTATGGTGCCTATGGATGATGGTTTTGTATCTGCTTCCTTTACTCTATACCGTACGCAAAATTTGACAAAGTGGAGTGAAACGAGAGGAATGACGCGTCGAGTTCATATCATTACAAGTTTCCCTTTTCAATGCAAGCGTTTTCGCGGTCGTTTTCGCGGTCTTCTCCGACTTCGATAATTTTACCCAATAGCCTCCTCGCCTCGACTGGTAGTGCTGGAAGGCCGCTAGTCCTTGCAAAGGAATGTAAAGCAGCTAGTCATTACAAAGGATAATGCACCGTAAGGCCGGAAGCGGCTTGTACTACGGTCCTTACGCGCGACAGGTATATATACTATTCTGTACGCAGATCAACTGTTGGTTGATTATTCGCACCTTTTAGCTACATTGGCGCAGTGGTACGGAGTTCTGTCCTCACAAGTGCTTACTACGGTCCTTCTGTGCGCTTTGCTAACAAAAGTCCATTCTCAACTAGTCAGTCATGCTAACTCATTGTAATATTACGAGATATTGCTAAATCGGCCTTCGCAGAGAGGAAATACTATATTTGAAACCATGAACAAGAGAACCGAGGAGTGTTGGTGACCCTTGTCTACTCTTGCATGTATGGCAGATTGCCCGACGGGATGGTCCGCTATCCTATCTGCCCCCGTCCCGCACCTCGGCGGCGTCCAGCACGGCGACAGTCGTTAGGCCTTCATAATTAAGTGCCACACCGGTGCATGAATCACTCCGAGGGAATTAGCCGTCCAATAATTTCGACTTATTCGGCTCAGACGTTAAAAGGGTTACCGTGTTCCCACGTCTCCGCGTTGAGACGAAGGACGCGTCGCTATTCCCTCGATCGCTCAGGGATAAGTTGCACGCCCATGGATTGCTTCGTGTTTCAGCACAGTTGCCGGACATGTCCGAGTTGACGTGTATTTGGAGATTGAATCTCAAAAGTCCGTGGATGTTGCTCAATCATAGCAGAGCAGTATGCACTCAGCTTCCAATAAGGATTCCTCAGTTCAAGGGGTCTACGTATAGGATGTCACGCCATGATTCAATTCATGCTGTTCCCCGTCTCCTGTTCTGTACCTGTCAGTCTGGTATGGCGAGGAGACCAATGGTATTCTTAAGAACAAGGTTCAATACAAGCAGGATTCGAGATCATCCCCAGAATACACACCTTGCTCTTGCAATACCAGGTGTCTTTCTCCGTTCAGTCCTTCAGATTGTCTGCCAACATCTTCCGGTTGTACAAATGCATCCAGCAGGATAAATATGGGGAGTTTTCACGTGAACCTTGGGAACCGATGTTACAGGAGGCCAGAGGTTTTAATTTGTCTCTTGCGGCGGCATACTTATGACTCCAAATCCATCAGAACTCTCGACCTACACAACTAGAAAAACGAAAGGGGGATCTGCCTCATGATTTCATTTTCGTTGCTTACTTCTAACCAATAGCATCATACATCTATCATTCAGCTCCGTCCTCCATTATGTCAAGACCACCCACTCCATCAGAGGTTCAGAGCATGCTACAACACCTCGACGACGATCGAAGAACAGCAATGACCGTCAGTAGTGTTGTATGTGGCGTCTTGTCTTTAGTTTTTGTCGCCATGAGAGTGACTGCAAGGAAGCTCCCGGGCATCCCTTTGGGACCCGATGATTGGTGGATGTTTGCGAGCTTGGTGCGTTCCAAAGACTCTCACTTGCGCCCTGTTGACTCTAATTAGTTCTTGTACATTGGCACACCCATATGTTTCGCGTGGACGACAAAGTATGGTGCCGGGCGACACGTTGTCCTTCTTACCGATGGCAAGGCTTTTGCAACGGTAACACTGCCCAGCTCCTATAAGGTTCCATATACTAAGTTTTCGAGTTACTTTTGATTGCTGAGATACTCTACTTTACAAATATTTTTACCATCAAGGTATCCCTTCTATATCTATACGGTCGAATCTTCCCGCAGCGGTGGTTCAAACTTACCCTCATTTATTTTGGAGTGTTCCTTGCCCTCATGACCATCGTCTCGTTGTTGGTGTGCGTGTTGCAATGCATTCCAATTCATAAGATGTGGAATTCTGCGGCCTCTAGCGGTTGCGTCGACTTTGGAAGATTTGCCTTAGCTATGGCATGTGTCAACATCACTACAGATGTTGTCATTCTCATCATGCCTCTACCAGTGGTGTGGGGTTTGAGGATCAGGAAAACTAAGAAATGGCTCGTCAGCTTGTCTTTCATCATGGGTGGTTCGTAAGTCAAGTGTTCTAGCTGAATTTCGTTAATATATTTGCTGATATTCAAACAGCGCTTGCGTCGTGTGTCTCATTCGCCTTCTATTCGTACTCAAGGTCGCATCCACCCCAGATCCTACATGTAAGGCCTCGGTACCATCATGTGTCTCATGAGGTATGTATGCTAATGTCATGGGAAAGGGGATAGCATACCATCGGGCATCACCTCAACATTCGAGCTATGTGTGGGCATCTTTGCAGCGTCATTCCCAACCTATCGCCCACTTTACAAATGGCTGTTTCCCGGTGAGGATGATGAGATGGTTGGACAAAGCAGCGGCTACGCAAGCTCAAGTTCTCGAAAGTGGAAACGGTCGCAGAACCAGGCTTCGGTCAACAACAATATAATAAAGATGACAACCATACGAAACGAAAGGGGACCACGAGAACCCGATGAGGAAAGACTGTATGTGATTGCTAAGGATGCAGAGACAAGCCGCGATACGTTCAAGTGAGGTAGTGCCGTGTCAGTAACAGGACTACGAAGAGTTGAACTGATACGGAGGGGGTTAGTTGACTTCGGTAAGGATGAATTCTATATAGCTCCTCTACACCTAGTAGAGCAACTCTAGCACAACAACTACTATAAGCTTTTTTAGATAATTAAGACACTGCTTTTACTTTAGTGTTACGCTGCTGCATGTCAAGCTCCGCTGCTAGTCACATGATCTCGCTAAGAGCAAAGCGAGCGTGCTAGCGCCTTGGCGCTGAGCAAGCTTTTCTCTCGCGAAAACACTTCACCTTCTTCTCTCTCCATCCTAGTATAGATGAAATAGAGCCGACCTACTCTACCTCGCTTCCCCAGCTCCGTACGGCAGTACAGACAGTGCTTGCCATCATATTTAGCAGCTATGTATAATGCTTCTTGTTATGATATCTCACTTTAGTCTGTCCGTTGCCGGTGACCTGCTAGCGGTGACGGAGGGTCTGGGGTCTTGCATAAGCTGAGAAGGGGTCATATGGTGAGCGAATCAACAAGGTACTGAGATCCAAACAAAGTGGACTGCACAAGTGTATTGTAAGGTCTCAGGAGCTCGATAGAGCTCTAGGCTGACTATTGTAACGATTCTACGAATCGTTCCGTCTCGGGTCGCTCGGATCCTATCCAAAGGGTCCCCGTATCGGCCCCGACCATGACTTGACCCAGTCCCCTGCAGTTACCCCTATTCCCTTATGTATTTAGTCGCACCTTGCCCCTGTAGCTAGCTTAGTAGTTTTCTAATACCCTTTTATACAAGGCCTATAGGTGTTAATGGCTGTCAGATTGAAGCACTGTTTCTGGGCTTCCTGAGATGAATGATGGGTTTGGATATGATGTATGGGATGATTGATTGATTGTATTGATCGTGTTTTATTTATCGATCCTTTTTCTGCTCTACTCGTGTTGCTCGGCTTTTTGTTTTGCCGATCCGAGTCCCTCGCGCACTTGCCCTATGCGCGACCAGCTTGCAACATGCTGCAATTTGCTGCAAATTGCTGCAAAATGCTGCAAAATGCTGCAAAATGCTGCAACATTCTGCAATTTGCTGCAACATGCTGTAAAATGCTGCAACATGCTGCAACATGCTGCAAAATGCTGCAACATACTGTTCGAGCTTATTGCTCGTACTATGTAGCAGCTTTCGTCAAGCGTTCCTCCTGTCTTGACAGTAGGTGCGCATATCTAACAATGGCATTCCTAGGTTTAGAGTCCCTACGCACTTCTATATGCCCCTAAGTAGATTCCTACTGCATTTAGACCTATTGCCTTACCTGCGCTATTACATTATATTAAAAAACTTACTTTTACTAGTAACAGCTTTATTAATAATATTATATTAATTATTTATTTAACTATGCTTAACTTTAAAAAGTATTTAATTTAGTTTAAGTTATAGTTTTTATACACTTTTATATTAAATTATTTAGTTATTATAAATAAGATTTTAGAAACTTTTTATCTCTTAACGTACTTCATAGGCGAGTTGCTTACACACCTAAGTTGCTTACTTTTGCTAAGACTCTACCCTAACAAACTCTATTATAGCCTATAACAACCCGCTCTAGCACTATATAGTACAGTACAGCCTAGAATATTATTTAGATACTACTTCTGCTTCTTGCTTACATGTTTGCGTGTTATGCCTAGTCTAATTACACTATCTATAGCGCCTTTAGAATAGCTTACCTACTTTAGCTTGCACCTGCTTCTTTACTTTCTTCCTGTTACTGTGTGCTTTAAACTTCTTTAAAGCTATTAAGTGTAGGCTTTTCTAAATTATTAAGGTCTTTTTTACTTTAATTTACTTTCTTTTATGTAATTTACATTACATAGCAGCTTTATTAGCTGCTTAAAGCTTAGTAATTTTCTATTATACTAACACTAGCTTATGCGTAATTATTACTGCCCTTTTTAAAACATTCTTAAACACTTTAACTATAGAAGTTAGTAAACTATTTATATGCTTTTAAATTCTTATCTTTATAAACATTAATTATAACTTAAGTTTTAGAGTATTACTTAGAGTTTACAACTGCTAGAGCCTATTATATATAAGTAGTAGTAGTAATAAAGTGCGCAACTTTACATTAAGGCCTATTATAACCTATTATAGGTTAAAAGGAACTAATTTAGTGCTTTAGAACTTTTTTTAAATATTACTAAAAGTAATTATAGCATTATAAGCTGCTTTAAAGCATAGCAGGAACTTTATTTTTATAATATAAGTAATTTAGTTATGTATAAGGTTTTTAGCTTAGCGCCTATATGCTTTTTTTAAAAAAGTAAAACAACTAACGTACCTAACAGGTTGGCCGGCCACACGGGTTGGCCGGCCACTTTTGCCAAGCCCCCACCAAAACCACCCCATTCTCTCGCAAAACAGCCCACTTTAGCCCTGTATAGAGTAATACAACACAAGATATTATTTAGAGTCTACTTCTGCTACTTACTTACACGTACGCAAGTTATGCCTAGTCTAATTACACTGCCTACATCGCCTTTAACTTAGCTTACCTCCTTTAGCGCGCACCTATGTCTTTAGCTTCTTCCTATTACTACGCGCTCTAAACTCCTTTAGAGCAGTTAGATAAGCCCTATCCTTAACTATTAAGGTCTTTTCTGCCTAAATCTGCTTCCTTTTATGTAATCTACATTGCGTAGCAGCCTTATTTGCTGCTTAAAGCTCTGTAATCTTATAGCCCACCTTATTGCGTTAATGCCCTAGATAACTATTGTCCACTTCCTATTACCTTACTGTATTGCCTTTAGCTGTCCTTATCTCTCTAAAGCTGTAATAACTGCTCTAGTTAATATCTAGCCTATTATAAAGCCTAACTTATTAAAGTTATACCTGTCTTTATCCTAGATACTGTACTTAGCTTTTATGTTAGCTACTAGGCAAAACTAGCCCTAGATAACCTCTAGATCCTTACAGAGCGCTCTCTTATAATTATACTTGCAATTAAACTTTATTATAAACTTAGGGCAGTGCTTAACCTACATACTAGTCTAGTTTAAGCTAACCTAGCCTAGATTGCGCTCTGCGGGCAAGGAATTAGCTATATTAGCTACAGCTGCGAGCCTAGGGGGAAATCCGCGCGTAATAAGCTTAAGTATGTACTTAACAACCACCTCCTCTTTAAGCTTAGTTAGATTCCTTAATTTAGGCCAGCATTCTGCTTGTAAAGGCTGTCTAGCGCGTTAATTGCTTAGTGTTGTGTGAGAGACATTATAGATAGCTGCAGCGCGTTGCAAGGAGAGTTTTAAGTCTTATTTAAGAGCCTAAAGAGCAAGCTATATTTAACATTCTTTAGAAGATTTAATCTAGTGTTGTTGTTAAGGCATTATGTAGATAGGTAGAGTTTAGTAGGGGCTTGGCAAAAGTGGCCGGCCAACCTGTGTGGCCGGCCAACCCGTTAGGTACGTTACTAATATAATGCTTTTATTATAATGTTTTTGTTTAGTAGTAACTAGCAGTGTAGTTATTGTTAATATAGCAAATTTATTATTTATAGCAATAAGTGTTTACTTACCTTACTTATATAGTCTAGTTAATGTTGTTAGTTTCTTTTTTAGCTATTATTTAAATTTCTACTTTATAAGTATTATTATGCACCTAACATTTTATAGCTTAGTCTACTAACTAATTATAGTATTAAAAAATTTACTATGCTGCTCTGCCCCCCTTTTAGAGCCTCTTTAGAGGCCTTTTAAGTTATCTGCCTTTAGGCTGCTTACGCTCTAGCCTATAGCCTTTAAGTTAAGTTCTCTTTTTAGTCCTTTAAATTAAAAAAATGCAAGTATTACACTTTACATAATAAAAAATGCAACTTTATATAAATATAGTTTAATATAGCTAGGGTATAGTTTACTAACACGCGCGTAGGTTCTTTTATATTATAAGGAGGAATTTCTAGTCCTTTAAGGCTATCTTAAGCTATAGGCAGCAGCCTAAAATGTAGAGAGTAAAAAGAATAAAAAGGGGGCTTTTAAAGCTATTTTAAAGTTTGCTTAGAACTTAGTGTAGGTAGCATAAGTTATAAAGAGTTAGAAAGCTAGTCTTCTTACAGCTAGTGTCTAAGTAGCTTTATTCTACTAAAACACTAAGCTGCTTTGTTAAGTTTTAGCTCTAAAGGCTCTAGTGTCTAACCTTTAGGCAGACATTGCAGCGCTCTTAGGCAGTTAAGGACAAAGTAAAGAGGGTTTAAAGAGGGTCTAGAGGGGAGGGAGGAGGAGAAGAAAAAGAGAAAGAAGGGTAAAGAAGGAGAAAAAGAAGAGTCTAGAGGTGTCTAATAGCTTACTATTAGACCTTCTAAGCAACATGTCTATAGAGTTGTAATAATATTATGTAAAAATATAATCTAACTCCTTACTTTTATACTTTATTATTTGCTAAGTAATTTATACCTTTTATACTAGCTTTTAAAGCCTTAATCTACTTTTATAAAGCCCTTAGAGGTCTTAGCTAATTTAGATGCTTATTATAAAAAGCTTTTAATTTATAAAGGGAACCTATAAAATTTAAAGCCTTATACTAGACTAGATTAGAGTTGTGTCTTACTTATTTTACCTAGTACTTAAGTGTTTTCTAGTAGAGCTTACTAGTAAGTATTTCCTTTACTTCCTACTTCTCTACTTTATTAATAGTAATTTTAGGGGGTTTTAGAGGTTCTTGTTCTAGAAGCAGATCTTAAGAATCTTTATAAAGTATGTTTAGTGCAAAGATATTATATATCTTTAACTTTAAAAGTAGCTTTAGGTAGTATAAGTTTCTAACTTATTTAAGTACCTTAAAAGGGCCTTTTTATTATTTAGATAGTTTTTAGCTAGGTCTTTAAATAGCTAGGTTCTTAGTGTCTAGGTAGACTATGTTGCTAACCTTCTAGTTAACTAGCTAGTAGTAGTAGTTAACTACAGTTTGCATCTAATCTTAGGCTTTTTTTATATAGGTCTTAGCTAACTTCTAGGCTACAT